TCTCAATCAACTGTTTCAGGGAGTATGACATAATAATGTCTCGTATTCAGGTATGTTAACAATCCATCTTTAGAAAAACAGAATTTACGACCAAAAACAAGGAACACAATCTTTTACACATGATACTGAGAGACATAAAAGGAAGCATAAAACATGGCCGCCTCCACAACTATTCTGCATAACAACTTCATGCAGGGGCTTATCGTTAATACTGTCAGTGTGCTTATTCGCATGTCATTCCATAAAATGTCAACTTAGTAAAAAGGCTCTATTAAACTCATTATTTGTTGCATGAATTTTCCTTCCAAAGGTGAGAATGAAGGACAATTGTCTGTCATAACAACACTGATTTTTCAAGATTGAGCAATGTTGATCATTATCATCATCATAAAAAGATTTATACAGCACCAGTTCCAGTCCAAAAGTACTGCTCAGTAGCGCTCTCCCGAACAATTCAAGAATGAAAAGTTAGACACTGTATGTTTTCTCCTTTGATGGGCATTTTAGATGTTGAGGTGATGAAGAATGATGACAATGTTTATGTATTTTTCACAGAATAAAAGAAGTTGTATATCCATAAAAATTGTCATCATTCTTCACTGTATGTTTTCTTAAAAGCATTTATTTTGTCTTCAACTGATGTTCAACAATTAACTTTAGAGAATTCTGGGTATAGCTCTACTTTCTCTTCAGGCATGTCTGCAGAGAATTATCAGGAAGGTCTCTACAAAGCCGTAATAATCAAGACGATCTAAGAGGACATTTCTTTTTCATAGAAGCATACAAATACTCATGTGACTACATTTTTCATCATATTTAATGGTCATTTGTCAATTCCGAGGGAGTGGAAAGGTGAACACTGAACATTATATGCCATTAACTTGTGTAACTGCATTTCTAAATGAACTATTTTAGTATTTGCTGTCAACACTGATTGACGAGTTAAATATCACTGTTTGTAGCCATATTTACAAAACGCTCCTTATGTTACCTATTTCCTTACAGGGTGGTTTTGTATTTCTGGTATTATTATGGCTGAAAGGGACGTTGTCGGCACAGGTACTACAGATGTGTACCCCAGGTACGTTTCTGTATACAGAAATGTACCCTGGCCATAATCAGAATACAGAAATGTACCCTAGGACGATTCCATTCTGCATTGTGGAGTTTTCTTGATCGGAACTGTCATACTGTTGTATTAGATGCATTTGATTGCGTTATATAAGAGCATACACAGTATAACGAATATTTCACGGTGCACAACGTACACCACTCGCAATCAGCTGAACGGGATTAACTGCATACGGTTTCAGTATTTGGTCGCGGAAGAAGGACTCGTCCGTCGTTTAGGGTACCGGGTACGTTTCTGTATTTTGACTTTGTTTAGGGTACATGTCTGTATACAGAAACGTACCTGGGGTACATATCTGTAGTACCTGTGCCAACAACGACCCCTTCAGCATTATTATGTCACAATGTGCCTAAAGGATGCAGGCATGGAGTTATCCAAAAGAAAACATGGAAATGGTATTACATTTAAAAATTAAATAACAGAGTTATTTCACACCTTTCAAACAATTATCAACATGCTGTTGGCACGGCACATGTATGTCAACCACATGTTAATAAGAATAACCTTAAAACAAAGAACATAGTCAAACACTGTTCAAATGTTAATTACAATAATGTCATGTAAGCATTTGCTGATGCAGCTTCAGCAACAACACATCCTCTCTTTGTTAAAGTTCAACAGTGTGTGACATAAGCACAAACATGCATGACCAATGACCTGCAACCCGATACGCCTCAAGTACCTGCTTGTTTACATAATGTCTACCATGGCCTGGTAATGACCACCACATGTCCAGGCAATCAATTAGCACCTACAAAGAGAAGCACATGCCTAGCTAAATACCCCAACCCTTGCTTATTCATCAATGAATCAATACAGGAGCGACCCAATCAACATTTTACATTATAAGTCACCAATGTAGGAGGCCGTATATCCCAACTGGGATATAATGGCATCAGCAATTAGCTCTGGAACTTGCAGGAGACGCATGAGGGATTCCAGTGCAGGAGAAATCAGGAACAATTGACCTGTTTAGTGGTAATGACTCATTTGAAAAGGATGAGGGATCGACTCTAAGCGCTACAGTCTTCCACCCTCGACAAAATATACTTACATTATCAAGTACATGAACCTTGAGTGAACTCTGTACTCACAGTGCTGCAGGAACTCCTGCTCTAAATGATTGTTTCCTCATACAGTTTCAAAGGTTGCGTAATGATGGAAGAGTTTTTAACTTCTTTCAATGGAATATACATAGGAAAAAGTGATGTAATTAGTACTAATTGTTATACATAGACATTGTCTCCTAATGATTTCTATAAACACACAAATTTGAGTTTTATCACCTACTTGATAACGGTGTTAGAATCTGCACCAAAATGCCGCTCCTCATTGTAAATAAAGAAGTTGTTTGTCCATATATTTTATCCTTACTTAGTACAACTTCTATATGGATCTAAAAGAAGTTAATGAATATACAATGTGGGTGTGGCTGCTTCGCTGACTTTGAATGACTTGATTAATTTGACTATAGAACTGCAAATCTAGTCTCAAATGTTTAAACAAAACAACTGAGATGAGATATTGGGACATTGTCATAACATGGTTGGGTGACTTCTAAACTCGATCATTTTAATTGGGAGAGTCAAGATAGAAAAGCCAAACCAGCAATTGTTTTGGTAAATCATGAAATAATAGCTGCTGACATAAACTTAATATGTTGGCAGGAAACAAAAACACTGTACCATGTTTATGCAATATATGTTAAACACATTGGGCTTTTCAGGTGCAAAGTTTTAGTCCAGCTAGCCGTAATTCCTTTCCACACCACACATATACAGGGCTCCAGATAATTTTTCATGATCAGGAGTACATACTCCATATTTTTTCAATATAGGAGTACTGGAAAACAATAAGAGTACATTTAGAGTACTGAATGGAATTTAATGGAGTGTTAGTAGTCTTGTGTTTCGTTTCATATATGCACCACAACATTGCTACTCTTGTGTAAACAGGTCAATAAACAATAAAACAATACGTTTTCAGATAAATACGTCTGTATATGATTCTAAGACCGTACACCATTGCTGTAGTGCGTATCTGCTACGTTTTCTAAATTATTTCCTACCGCATCGTGCTTATTTTATATCCGTACATACGCCAATACGGCCCCTATCTGGAGCCATGATATACAACCTGTTCTCTAATATCACATGTTGCATTCTGAAGTAATATTGTTTGTGTTCTCTAACATTACATGTTTGGGTGACAACATGCATTGTGATGTCATATCGTTTGTGTCACAATCCACTAACTCAACACAAATACATCTGTCATTAAATATTACATCTTTGTGTCACAAAACGGATTGTGATGTCATATTGTTCGCATCACAATCCAATGACTCCACAAAAACACAACTGTTCTCTAACAGTACATGATTGCGTGACAACATGCATTGTGATGTCACATCGTTTGTGTCACAATCCACTAGCTCAACACAAATACATCTGTCATTAAATATTACATCTTTGTGTCACAAAATGCATCACAATCCAATGACTCCACACAAACACCAATGTTCTCTAACAGTACATGTTTGTGTGACAAGCATTATGACATCATTTTGTTTGTGTCACAATGATTACACACAAATACAACTGTTATGATAACTGTGTTAATTCTCTAAACCTTTAAAATAACTATCATGTTTCTTTTGTCCAAGACAAACAATTCATCCACCAAATGTAAAACATATTTTCACACTTAAATATGGTTTTCATTCAGATTTCATGAAATATGCATTTTGATCGTTAACAGACTTCCTCTAGACCGAAAACAGTTGCACCCTTCAACCCTTTTACTAGATCTTAAATACACACCATTGACCTGTCCCTCCTCTCAATTTATGGTAGCTGCATGGTGTTCCTGATAACATGCACATGGCAACCTGTACTGTTTACCAATAATGTCTTACTTCAGTAACAAGTACTGCACTTTACCGGGCGCACTTTTTCTGATTAATTAGCGCTGCTGAGGTTCCCTAACCCTAACCCTAAGGATCGTAAAGGGTGGCATACCCTAACCCTAAACCCTAACCCTAAGGATCGTAAAGGGAGCAGCGAGTGCTGCGCCCTGTAAAGTGCATTCTAGCCGTCGAAGTAAAAAAACAAGTGTAAATGAACAAGAGCTGAAAGATAGTTCAATGGCTAGACGCAGAAAAAATATTTGTTGTAACATATTCATAACGTCTGATTAATTCTGAAAATAGACATAGAATGCTAATAAAGTGATCCTCAAACTGACAATAACAATATTTTTAACAAATCAAGTGGAACTCAACTAAAGTACTTACTCATCCCGTGACAATAGTTAATTGAGGAACAACGATCATTCATATTTAAAGCGATTTGCACCAAACTATGGCGTCACGCTTCACTGAACTACACCAAAATATTGGCATCGTCTCATGACAATAACGACCGGCCCCGATTCAAATTTTAGTACGATATTTCCAACTTTTACGGGATGGAAAGGCAGTTTCGTGTCCGTACACACCCTTCTCATTGAAAAATATCGCAACAGTCTCATACATTTTTAGGAAAGAGAGGACGAAAAAAAGGATTCATGAATTTATTAGTCATGTTCTGCGAGCAGACGATCGTCTAATGAATTCGATTTTTGTATGTAACCACGTTAATTTGGGATTGACCATCAACTACATATATCTTAAAAGTTTTTTTCTCGTGCCAGTTTTGGTATTAGGTGAAGTGTGATGATTCACGTGCGCTAAATGCATGCACGAGCATCCCGAGCGAAATACACACCTCAGTCCGTGATATCGCCTGACAGTTATTGGCACTGGGTAAACAGCGGTACTCGGGCGAACATCCCGTGCGATTTTAACAGTATATAACGGTATACTCACTCTGATCGGCCTTCCCTGCGACTGGATCTGTAATGTACAGTAAGAAATAACACATATATGCAGTAAGTCCGTGAAGTACGTCCATTTTTGCTCCACAGCTTGTCTCAGTACCAACTCATTATTTCTACCATTCTCAACTCCATAGACATGCGCAGTGATTCTGTCACGTGACATGGTATATCCGAAATAACGCACATTGACAAAGACATTTTACGACGCTTGAACAATGCAGATTTTAAGGGTGTTTCCAGGCGCGTAGCAAGCCATTTTTCTTCGTGTAAGCCCGATAGGTTGCAAAGCTTTATATTTAGATAGTATTGAGGGCATGCCCAACCTTTTTAGCAACAATCATGTGTAAGCCCGGGCTTTTATAATAGTGGTAGCTACGCCCCTGGTTTCACATAGTTTCCACGATTTGCTAACAGACACAGATCATCCCAATATCGTGAAGGAGGTTCACGTTAAATAGCGTGTGTGAATATTCGTGGTTTGTGAATAATATTTTTCACAATTTTGATATTAATTTGAAGATATAACCGTATGGCGCTTTGGCGAAAATACATCTGAGCATAATTGTATTATACCAATCTCCTGATACCAGACTGATCGTGATATTAGTAATATTACGTTTTGAAAAGCACGTATCAGCTTATAATTATCGACATGTTTCAATTAATTAACGCTCAATATACTATGAACTGACAAAAGCTATATAGGTGTGCATTCTGAATTGGCACTCAAGAATATGCGTTTGCAAATTGTGCAACTAAAAAAGTTGACGCCTGAAGGCAGGTGGTTAATGATTTTACCACACAGCAAAGCATAACTACATCGACATGAATCCTATAAGATATATCGTTAACACATCGTTACATATATACGCACAGGGTACCAATCTGCTGAATTGAATTAAGAGCCCTTAACACGTATTTCAGAACCCACTGGGGGCGGTGGGGTAGCCTAGTGGTCAAAGCGTTGGCTCGTCACGCCGAAGACCCGGGTTCGAATCCCTACATGGGTACAATGTGTGAAGCCCATTTCTGTCCCCCGCCGTGATGTTGCTGGAATATTGCTAAAAGCGGCGTAAAACTGAACTCAGTCAGTTCAGAACCCACTGTCTCTCTTGTACCTAAATACATAGATATTACCTTGCATTCAAACGTTGGCCCAACGTTGGTAATATTGCTTTCGTATTTCTTACGTTGGTGGAACGTTGTATTGCTTGATTTAGTTTAACGTCTCTCGCAGCAGTATTACAGCCATATGACGGCGGTCTGTATATAACCAAATCTGGACCAGACAATCCAGTGATCAACAACATGAGCATCGATCTACGCAATTGGAATACGATGGCATGTGTCAACCAAGTCAGGTAGCTGGCCACCCGATCCTTGTAGTCGTCTCTTATGACAAGCATTGGCTGCTGAAGGCCGATTTCTAACCCGGATCTTACAGTGTAACACTATTTCGGAAATTTTACTTTATGTCGATAGAGTCGATTAAAATTAAATATCTGAAATGAAAATATTAAACATTTTTGTTACATTGTCTTTTGATATGTACAGGCACAGAGAATCTCTTCATTTTTGGATAATTTTATATTATCGTTTTTGTTAGAAAAGTTTTCTTTTCAGAAATAGTTTGTACGTTTGCTTGAATTAGCTGAGTTTGTATGACAATGTATTTTTGTACTAGTTCTTTAGGTTTATGCCGCTATGTATAGGATTGAACGGGAACAGTTTAGCGGCGATTTATGGCGTAGTAATTATGATAATGCGGCCGGAATAATCTGCATATTGCGGATATTACTGTCATAGTAATTACCGAGATAAGTAAGTCAGGCGTCATTATTACTTGGCATAAATCTGAGTTTACTCTGTATCAGAACAAAACAGAAATGGAGTAATTGCTCATAAATCATCCAAAATGATATAGAGGAAGGACATATATTTTCATACAATACAATGTGCCAGATAGTTGATATAATGTGACTCAGTATCAGATGATATTAATGTACAATTAAAACAGGGATAATGCACAGGCCCTCGTGTGTACAATTTTTTTAATTTTTTTTTTGATGTATTGTACTGTGAAGCATTTCGAGACGGGAATCATCTAAAATAAAGTGTCGTTTTTTTTATCTTTAATCCTCGCAAAGACACAAGGGCCTGTGTATTATCCCTGCAGAGTGGGTAGCAATAAGTTGTGGACGTATAGAATGTTTAAAAGTGTGTATGGTTGCGAAAGCTATGTAAGTATGCAAATGCCGCGCTCCTATCGATCTGCCCTTTCCAAGTTTAGATCCGGTACTGCACCTCTAAAGTTGGAAACAGGCAGATATTCAAATATGAATGTAAATGAAAGGGTGTGTTTTCAATGTAGTGATAAGATTGAGGATGAACGTCGTGTACTGTTGGAATGTCCGCTGTACGATGATCTACGTGAAAGTTTATATGGCCATATGTGCTTCAGCTATCCCAACTTCCTAGATTTATGTGAGAATGAAAAAATGATTTTACTATTTAAAGAACATGTTTATCTTACAGCCAAAACCTGCTTTTATATACTTCAAAGAAGAAAACTTCTTTTATACGGCTAATTTCATATTGTTACTTTTATCATATATGTCGCTTCTATGTACATGTAATAGTCTCTCATAACCCTTAAAGGGTGCCTCATTTTATGTATATGTGTGTATATATCTGTACTTTTACATGAGGTGAGACTTAAATAAAATATATGTCTGTCTGTTTTAATTGTACATTAATATCATCTGATACCGAGTCATATTACATCAACTATTTGGCACATTGTATTGTATGAAAATATCTGTAATTGTTTTGAGATGACCCCCGTCTCGAAATGCTTCACAGTGCAATAAATTGTGATGTATTGTACTGAGAAGCATTTCGAGCAGGGGGTTATTTGAAAAAAGTGGGGTTTTTAATCTTTAATCCTCTCAAAGACACGAGGCCTGTGGGATAATACGGTTTTTGTAAGACTGGACAGTTTCTGTATCAAAGGGAGATTTCAGATTGCATAAGTGAAATAAATTTATCAATATGAGGGATACTACAGAAATATCTTCGTTGTTGTTGTTGTTGTTGTTGTTGTTGTTGTTGTTGAACGCCGCACTCAGCAATCTTCCAACTATATATGGCGATCTGTAAATAATCGAATCTGGATCAGACAATCCAGTGATCAACATCTGATCTAATATAGTGTGCGTTTAAGCTTTTGAGATAGCGTTTCAGGCAGTCTAAGGATAACATTGGGACTTCAGTGTAATAAACTGCTGTATTAACTATTGAATAAAAATAATTGTTTTCATATATCTATTTCTAGCTGGAGTTACAGTAATTTCTTATAAAAATGTCAACCAACCATAAAATATAAAGTGTGGCTTTATTTAAAAAGTAAGACTGGCATGCAAAAGGACCATTTTCCTGACGAATTTGATAATTAATTTGAGAAATTTGATCTTCACTTCCCGACCTATATTTGAAGTTTCACCCCAAAGCACTACCGTCTCTCAATTAATGTGATTAATGAACTTCTAAAACAGCCAGTTTGTGGGTTTTTATGTGTACGATAACATGATACTATTCAATTTTGTTTTATACTGAGGCTTGGCAAGCGATGAACAATTGATTTTTAGGATATTATGATATTAAAGCTTGCGTGAAAATAATGGATGACGAAAATTAATGTGTTAATCTTTATTACAGAAATAGTTCTAGCCGATTGTGCTTGGAGGTGTTCACCGTCACCATCACGCACCCATGTCGTGCAATCTCACCTGTTGGGATTTCACGTTAGAATGTATCCTCAGATGAGCTATACCGGCTGCCGTTGTAGAATCACGATCGTAAGCCAATGATAAGTTTGGTTGGTTGGTTTGTTGATTTACGCCGCACTCAGCAATATTCCAGTTACATATATGGCGGCAGTCTGTAAATAATCGAGTCTGGACCAGACATCCAGTGATTGATGTACACAATTGGGATACGATGACATGTGTCAACCAAGTCAGCAAGTCTGACCACCCGATCTCATTATTCACCTCTTATGACAAGCATGCATCGTATTAGCTTGTTGATGTCACGACTGTTATCTTGTGTGTGCATGTGCCACATTTGGACGGTCATGTCAACGATTCAGATTATAATTAGAAGAAAGTTTGGTTTAGTTGTTGTGTGACGCCGCACTCAACAATATTCCAGCTATATGGCCGCGGTCTGTAAATAATCGAGCCTGGACCAGACAATCCAGTGATCAACAGCATGAGCATCGATCTTTGCAACTGGGATATGATGACATGTGTGAACCAAGTAAGCAAGCCTGACCACCCGATCCCTTAAGTCGCCTCTTCCAACAAGCATGGGTCACTGAAGACCAGTTCTAACCGGGATCTCCATGGGTCAGCTTCAGGAGGGTAAGTGTGTAGCCTTTCCATAACACCGCTCAAAGCAGATACATGTTGGCCATACCGTGTCAACATGGGAGAAAAGGCTACATTAAACAGGATATCAACAAATTCTGGATGCCTAAGGGAGACAACCATGCACAGAATTTGTTGATAAAACACTTAAACTGTGAAAAAGCAGTATTCTTTTAAGAAGTTTAGACGAAAACTTACAAAGTTGTTATATTGAGGATTACACGTACTCAGTAGAGATTCTAGCCCTCTTTGGGGTTGAGTACCACCCGGGAATCGGAGAAAGAGGGTTCGAATCCCGAATGAGACTCAACCAACGCTTTTTGCAACGTCCAAGATACATCACGACGAGGATACCAGAAACTATATACACAATGAACTACATTTATTAACTTTCTAGGACATTGAGTGAGTGAGTGAGTACGGTTTTACGCCGCCTTTAGCAATATTCCAGCAATATCACGGCGGGGGACACCACAAATGGGCTTCACACATTGTGCCCATGTGGGGAATCGAACCCGGGTCTTCAGCGTGACAAGCGAACGCTTTAACCATTAGGCTTCCCCACAAGGGTACAATGTGTGAAACCTATTTCTGGTCTCCCCCTCCGTGATATTGCTGTATTGCTAAAAGCGGCGTAACTTTCTCACTCCATTCTAGAACATTTTATATCAAATGTGTCGGTTACAAAC